CACAAAAATACGGGCCTCCGGCCCGTCAACTTCCCGTCACTTTGACTAAGCATGCAGGGTTGTACATTTTTTTTCGCTTATTTTCGTCAAAAACTCCCTGTGGCGCCTATACGGTTAACGATAGAGCCAAACGGACGATATTTTCGCCCAAAGGGCTCTACTTTGATGAGTTACCCCTTAGAAAACATTAAAAAAATATTTTTAAAAAACATCATTTTGGGGACCTGTGGTTTTTGATTATTTAAAAATCCAATTTTTGAGCTAGAGTGCTCATCTTCGAACTTGACCTGTCTTTTTATGATACAAAACGACCCTGAAAATCCCAGGTCGCTAGCTCAATTCGTTCTCGAGTTATCGTGCGTACAGACAAACACACAGACACACACACACACAAACAGACGCGAAACTTTTTGATCATCAGTGGAGTAATAGGCTTCGCTATCGCTCAGCCAAAAATGATTATTTTAGAATTGCTCTCATGATTTGGTTAATCCTCATATATACTATACTGCTTTCTCACAAAATTACCTATATTAAAGTTCCAAGTGTCAGCGTGTTTTACCCAAATAATTGTATGAGTTAATTTTTACGGGTTGCAATTTTTTGATACAAAATGGCGGATTAGCTACCCACGTGACCCCTCTCAGCCAATCAGAGCTAGCGCCTCCGTTCGCGGGTCTCTCCCCAATATAGGACTCTAGGCCTGCGCAGCCGAGGGGGCCACCACTCTCTCTTTGGATGTACACATGATTGCAAAGATTGCGTGATTTCACATGATTTCACGGATTTCGCTTTTTATTTTAGAAGATTTTACGCTAAAACCTGCCGGCAGATTATGTCTGATCTGAAGGATTATAGATGATTTCAGCGGATTTTACCGGATTTCGGCCGATTTCACGAGATTCCGGCGGATTTTACGTGAAATCCGGCGGTTTTTACATGACCTTCTAAGGATTTCAGACTAAAATTTGCTGGCAGATTACGCATGATTTCATGATTGCAGGTGGATTTCAAATCATTTCGGGAGGATTTCAGGGAGGGCGTACACATGATTTCAGGAGTGGCGGCCCCCTCGTGCGCAGCCCGACCATGCCCAAACATTTCAGTCTCCCGATTTACTGAAGAACATAATCTAATAAACTAGGTAGATGTTCGCCAGATCACGTCTCGCGTAACAGGCTTCGCGATATCTCACGAAACACTGTTGCGCTGCGACGCGCCTGGCGGCGCTGACACCCGTGTGGGATAGCTCGAAAATGTACACAAAGATACGGGCCTCCGGCCCGTCAACTTCCCGTCACTTCGACTAAGCATGCAGGGTTGTACATTTTTAGACAGTCCCTTGTGGTCTGTCTCTACCCGAAGGTAAAAGTTGCCAGTTTTGATAAAGATAGCCGATTAACGTTCCAGTTATAATAAGCCGATTGACGTTGCTAGTAAAGATTCTCTGTGGGGGCGAGCGTTTCTCCGTTCCGTGCCCTGCGAGTTTTCTCCGTTCCGTTCGTCCCCGGTAGCAGTCCGCTGTCATCGCCCTGGTTGTGTTATAAACACAGCGCCCTTATCCCTTGCTTCGCGCCGAGCCAGGGTGGGCCAGCCCACTTGAGCCTCTCGCAGCGCTGCTCCTCGCGCGCCCCGCGCCCCAACCGGCTCAATCGGCAGCGGGCGCCACATGGCCCGTCTACTTGACAAGTGATCCCTAGTCTTAAGTTTTAAATTTGAACCACAGCGCTGTGTGAAATGTGCTTGTTTTCAGGCACGCAGAAATTACGAATCCAGCAAGATTTGAATGGTGATTCTAGCATAATTTGCTGATTTTCGTTGTTTTTGATATTAACCACAGCTTTCCGTGACATGGAAAAGCGCTCTTGGGTAAGGTGAAAGTATCCCGTTTTGATAAAGGTTGCCGTTGTTGGATATTGCCGATTAACGTTCCGGTTTTGATAAGAAGATTTTCATTCTTATTTTGATGCTGATGCCTTATTGAATTTGAAAATACAAGCCTTAGCGCCTGTATATTTTGAATTTGCTTTTGGAGCCGGACTGTCTCGTTACCGGCCGGCAGGCCAGTTTTTTCGCTTATCTCCGTCCAAAACTCCCTGTGGGCCCTATTAGGGGTACTGCCCCCATCCTGCGCCGCTCCTCCCCGCGCCCGACGATTTTTGTTCTTCTCCTTCCGGTCTAGCCGAGCCCCGGAGTACATGGCGTCCAATCGTAAAATGTCAGAGGAAGTACCCCACCGAAACACCACATTCTGAATAGGGTGTTCCAGGCTATCTAAAACGGAAGTGAAAAAGAACAAACTCACTGATTTAACTGTTTCCGTCCGCCCAGTATGAGAAACTACCATGGTAGTTTGGTCCGATCCTATCTAGTGGGGACGTTTACGACCAGATCGGGCCTCAACTTTGCACAGTGAGCTAGGAGGCTGAAATTTGGCATGGAGGTACTTAATGACCTACTGATCAAAATAGGACGTGGTGCCAAACGGGCACCACCCCCCTTCACCCTTCACCCCCCTTTCCCTTTCTCTTTTGCTTCCCAGAACGTAACTTCTTAACCAATACACCTAGAGAGGTGTTTTT